CAGAGGCAGCTCTTGTGGCCGCTTGTGAGAGGCTGGGTTCGTGTGTGGCTGCGCCGACGGGGCATCTGTGTGCAGACTCGTGTGTCATCTGCTTGTGCGTGATTTCTGATGGATGGAGAATGACTGTCTGTGAGGCTCTGGTGACTGGGGGTCGGTCGGGGCAGACCCGGAGTGACTGTGGGGGGCGCCTGGCGCCCGATGGACAAATGCAGGGTCAATTCAGATGCACCGCAAGGCTACAGCCCGTGGGAAAGGCTCCTTAACTCTAACCCTGGCAAGCACAGCAGTGGGGTCCTGTCGACGTGGACACTAACATGAACTAGAATTCATGTGCCACCGTCCAAGAATACACCCGCGGCTGTAGATTTTCCAGCTAAAGCTGACAGTTCATTTGGCTATCAGGACGCACACACAGGGGGCCGGGGTATGACAATGACTGACCCAGCCAGGACAGGGGTGAGGCCCGGAGGGCAGCTAGTGGGGAGGGCCGGGAGGGCGCAGGGGTACGTCTGTAACTGCACCTTTTCTCTGCCTCTCAGCCCGCAGGCTGGCCAGGCACAGGTGAGCTCCTCAGACGTCCTGTTCCCTCGGGCAGCAGGCATGCCCCTGGCACAACCGCTGGTGGACCCCTATGTCCCCCAGGCCCTGGACCCCAACATGCCCGTCATCATCAATACCTGCAGCCTCCGGGAGGCAGGGGAGGGCACAGAGGACAGGCACTCAGTGGCTGATGGAGAGATGTACCGGTACAGCGAGGACGAGGACTCGGAGGGTGAGGAGAAGAGCGATGGGGAGTTGGTGGTCCTCACAGACTGATCCCCAGCTAGCTGGGCCTGGCCTGTCCCCACCGGGGAAGACCCCGTTCTTCCCAGCCCGACGGGCACAGCCAGCCAGCCTGAACCACGTTGGTACTTGGACTTGGGTGTGCCCAGGCGATGGGTGAAGCTGCACACTTGTAGATACATTCCCAAGGGGTGTGTGTGTGTGTGTGAGGGGGGTAGGTGTTCTCCTCTTCACCACACCTTCGGGCACATCTGAGGAGTTAATGGCCTGGCTGGGTGGGATTCCTGAGGCTGTGATAGGCCAAGTCGGCTGAGGCCTTTGGCCCTTGGGGCTCACGGCCAGGGAACACTGGATGTATTCCCCCTTGTGGGTCTAGCTATCCGAAGGGATGGCAGGTGCACACACCTGTCCCCCCAAACCGGCTTTGTTTCTATTTTGTCATGGCCAAACCAGCCAATGGCGGGACAACATCTCTGCCCCAGAAGCTCCCAGGTCACTCCTCTGTCACCTGGATCACTTTGTACTTCGTGCAGAAGGGTCTGGCGATTCTGTCTTTGTCTTCCAAGTCCATGTGCCTCTGGCTGCTGCGTATGTGTGTGTGCGCGTGCACATGCACGTGTGTGCCCACGTGCCCACGGTTTCATCTCGCCTCTCTGGGCAGAAGGTGTTTGCTAAGTGGCTGCTGTGAGCCAGGCATGTTGGTGAGCTCTGTGGTGTGTCTCTTGACGCTTCTCCGGGGGCCTCTTTCTGTGCTTCTTCGTCCCCAATTTGCTACCTCTTCGTCAGTCTGGTGTCTCAGGTTCTGTGTGTTCTCGCCCAGCGTGCATTTCTGTCTCCGTCCCTCTGTCTGTCCCGGCTCCCACCACGCCCTCTGGGTCCTCTGGGTTTCCCACAGGGCCCAGCCTGCCCCTGGGACTGGCAGCTTCCTGACCCCACGCCGACCCTTTTCCTCCCCTCTGACTTTGCCCGTCAGTTCCCATGGAGCCATTTTTAGCTCCCAGTACTGTGAGAGTGTGCCTCGGCCTCCAAGGGGCATTGTCCTGATTCCCAGCCGGACTCCCAGGCATGGGGGCCAGAGGACTGATGACTCCTCTTTCTGTCAGTGACAGCCCTGCCGAGGGGACCCCCGCGGCAGCTGGTCTCCATCCCTTCGTGAGCATGGGGTGGCTTCCTTCCTCCCCCACTCTGTCCTGGGGAATGAGCTTCACTCCTGATAAGCTTCCTGGTTGTTTCCCCAAGAAAATCAAAGACCATTAGCACCTAGCTCCAAAGATCTGGAACAGTCCCCGAGCCAGGAAGATGACCCCAAACCCCACATGGCCAGGTGCCCCCCCCACCCCACCCCGTGACCCCATTTCTCTCCAGACTGTTTCTTTTTATGACTGTAAACATAGATAGTGCTTTATTTTGTTACTAAGAAGATAATGATGAATAACTTAACCAGCACATTTGTTTTCTGATGGCATAATAAAGACCAACCATTTCAGAATTCGGACCCTTGTTCTGCAGAGGCTGGCCTGAACCAGTTCACCAAGTCTGGTGCCTGCCAGGCACTGCTGCCCCCTGGCGGCAGTGTATGGGAGCATCAGGCAAAGTGTCTGGAAGAAATGGCTTTGGGCAGGGAGACCGAGGACAGGCCTGTGGTGACACACTGATGCTGAGGGAGGCAATGTGGTGGCCTGGAGGAACAGTGTAACCCTGGCTCAGCTCTCCCCTTTGGGCTACACTGTCCCACCTAAAAGCAAGAGACTTAAACTTCTCCATGATTCTTACCCCCTCTCGGGGAGGGAGCCCCCTGAATCCAGTGAAAGCTGTGGGCCCATCCCAGAAGAGCCATCACACACAGACACCCAGGAGCTCTCTTGTGGGCTCCCTGCCCACAAGAAAATTATTATATCACTTATTAAGGGAGCAGGGTCCGGAATGATGTTCTTCAAGACTCCGTGACCTTGCACTTTGAATGGGGACTTCAAAGGCATAGTTGTGACATTATTATCGCTGGAGACAGGGCTGGATCAAAGACCAAAAGTCTTCAGAATTAATGGGATTCTATAAGACAAGTCTTGGTTGAATTAATACCATCATCATGGTATTGCGGGAGCGGGGGACGACACTGAATAGCATCTCTTATGAAAGAGATGAGCCAGATTAACAGGTTATGTCCTCAGTGAGGAGAGGCTATGGGGCAGTGTATATTCTACACAGGCTTAGTCCAAAGTGTATCAGTCTAGTCCGAACCCCCTCTTTAGAAAAAGCCACTGTCATCTGGAAGGGCCCAGAGTCAGCCTGTGAGAACAAAAGACTCCTGGTAGGTATATCATAAGAGGAATGGCCAAAGGGGCCAGGGTCATCCCGTCCACAAACGGGGCAAGAGGGAGGAGAGTGTGTTCGGTTTTTGGGTAGCAAAGATAGGTGCTGTTGTATGGATTGTGAGATTACTCCTGAGCTGATAGTCTCAAAGATCACTATGTTGGCTACATATACTGACACACACACACTTCGGTAAAGACATTCAGAAGCAGAGGGAGCTTCAGAACCCCGGAACTAAGGGTTCCGACTTGGCACTGCCGGGGGGGGGGGGGGTGGTCTTATTTTTATGTGCTGGTGAGGCGGTAGGCATGGTGGGATTAAGACCACACACTGCCAAGAACTAGAGGCAGTGAATCGGGGTGTCCTGATTCCTGGCCCTGTCCTTCAGAGCCCTGGCTGCTTGTCCTCACTGTCCTCACACCTTGGCGCCCTGCCCAGCCCTGAGGCAAGGGCCAACAACAAGAGACCAGTCAGTCCAGGGTTCTGGAAACTTCTTTGGCTTCTGCCTGGCCCGTTCAAGTGGCCACTAGAGGGAGCTGCTTGGCTCAAACCCGCAACTTCACTCCAAACTCCCACTTGGGTCACAACTAGATCTTGTAATCTCCCTGGGATTCCTTCTAGTTCCCCCTGTTACCCTGTGGCTGGTCCTCAGCAGCCTGGAGGGCTGGGGTCTCGCTGCCAAAGGTACTCCCAGGTACCTGTGTCCACAGACCTCATCCAGCTGCTCTGCCGTGGCTGCCCAAGTCCTCTGGCCAGCCGGAACCTCACCCCTTCCTGGGAGAAGCAGGGCGTGATCAGGTGGGCAGAAACGGGGGCAGTGTGTTCTGGTCGCTACCAGGAAAGCTAGCCACAAGCTCACCTGGCCCCCTCTCCACAGGCCAAAGGTCAGACCTGGGAAGATGGCCTTGGCCTGGAGCACCTGCCTCGGATGACAGGAAAAAAGTGGACCTCAGGCTTTGTGGGGAAGGAGCCCAGAGTCCTCCTCCTGCCCACCCCAGCTACTCCCTCAGCACCAGACTTGTCTATAGGGTGAGGCCACAAAGACCCTAGGAGGCTACGCCTGACTAACCTCATAGGGACTACTCTGCCCTTGGTTCCAGGGTGACTGGAAATAAGGTGGGCATTGCTATGTCATTATGCCCATGGCCCCCCTGAGTCTACAGGTGACCTTGGGACCCCTCCTCCCCCAGCTCTGTCACCATCTGTATGCCCGGGCACGTCTTTTCCCCCAGGTCCTCCATCAGCACACCCCCGGAGAGCCTACCTCCGCTGGAGCATGTGACCTTGAAGGCCCTAGCTGCCAGTGTCTACTAAAGCTGTTGCCATGACGCCTGGTGCATTTGCAGGCAAATGCCCAACCACCAGATTCTTCCCCACCCCCCACCCCCGCTCCGGCCAGCTGCTCCTGGTCAAGGCAGTTTGGGGTGTCCTCACTTGAGTTTCTGCTCTGGCCTCCTGAGGAGGCTGGCTGCAAAAATCATCTTGCCTGCTGCCAGACAGAGCGGCTCTCCCCTACCCCCGGTTGCTGAGGGCCTGAGCAGACTGTGGAGGGAAGCCTGAGTGTTGTAATCCGGGTTCCGCAGGCCCTGCCCATGATGGGAAGGTCTAAGTCCTTGGAGTCTGCATCGCGGCGCCTCTGTATGCAGCATCCTGCAGAGGCAAGTGCCAGGATGTTAAAAGTGGAGAGGCTGTGGATGAGAGAGAGCATCAACCCTTGCCCGGGTCTGCAACCTTGCCCGAGGCGGCAGGATGCCGGGGCGAGGCTGGCATTAGAGGTGCCCAGGGTGCTGTGCCTAACCTCGAGCGGGAGCAACCCCAAAGGCCCAGAAGAAAGAAAACCGAGCCTGGCCCAGCTCCTCCACACGTATAACAGTCACACTCCCAGCCACTGTCCTTTGGAGACCGCCTTCCAGAAACAAACATTTTAATGCAGAAAAACATAATTTACAAATGGAATCACAGTGGGGGCCTAGAGCAGGCCCCCTAGGAACTGGGGGGCTGGGAGGCGGAGACAGCTGCTAACACTTTGGGTATCTGGCCACGCCCCCTTGCCTCCATGGCCCGTTCCCAAATGGTCGGCTATGTGCAGAGTAGAAGACAGAGATGGACAGACAGATCCTTGGAGGGGAGAGAGGCGGAGGCTGCTGCTGGCTCTGGTACCTGCCACCCGATCCAAGACCATAGCTACTCCAGGTCTGCCTCTCCTCTGCAGGGGCCCGAGCAGAAGCACAGGGGAGCTGGGGAAGGGGTGATGGGATGGCGTCTGGCTTGGAGAAGTGAGCAGCTCAGATGAGGCAGCGGCTGGCAGAGCTGCCAGGCCTAGCTGGGAGCTCTGTCCCCAAGGTGGCAAGCGGAGCTAGCTTCCTGCTGGCTAGGGGCTCAGCACCTCTCACCTAGGGCGGACGCAGCTCAGCTGGAGGCTGGGGCACCAGAGGTAGAAAGGAGCCCTTCCCCTCCCCTGCTAGGGAGGGTCAAGGGCAAACTGAGGCAGCCCAAGCTCCAGCAGGCCTGGGCTGGCAATGGTGTGCTCTCAAAGGGTGACAGCCCCGGCCTCAGCCATCTGCAGGCACTTCCTCTCCAAGCCTGTCAGGGTGAAGAGGAACCCCCACCCCAGTGCTGGGCTTCAGCCCCTCCAAACAGGAAAATGAAGTCTTCATCGGCATCCACCGGGGAGCCTTTACCATGGCTACCCACATGCCCCAAGGGTGCCCATCGCAAGGCAGGAGGGTACCCTGGAGAACAGGTCTGGCATCAGAAGCACACGGAGGAGCAGGAGGCTGGTCACTTTGGCATCTCCAAGGCCAACACCTGAGGCTTCACTTTGAAGTACTGGCTGAATCGGATCACCGCATACCTGCCAGGGAAGACAAGGAAGTGCATGAGCATGGAGGCTGGCCGCCTAGGGAGGACTCTGCCTCCCAGCTCAAGCCCATCGAGGTCTGCGCAGGTCAACTCTTTGTTTTTGAGACAGGGTGTCTTTGTGTAGCCCCCGTTGTCCTGAAACTCACTCTGTAGACCAGGCTGGCCTCGAACTCACAGAGATCTGCCTGCCTCTGTTGAGTGCTGGGATTAAAGGTGTGCGCCACCCCCCCACCCCCTCGCTAGGGACAAATCAACTCTTAACATTTTTTTCACCATCGTTTCATTTTCTTCGGTCAGACTGGAGCAACCCTCCCAAAGATGTGTTTGGTGTTTTGTTTTTATTATTTTGTAGGGCTGATGTGCCTGT